AAGTAAACCGCTTCGATATGTGTGAAAAAGGCATGCGTCTAAATGATGGAGAAGATAGTCGAGAATATTTTGAAAACTTATTGTCGGATAAAAATCGAACAAAAACGAAACCCTAGCTTTAAATTTTATCAATACCCCAAGTAAATGTTGGCTGCATGAATATAAATTGAAACCAGACACAAGCGTCACCTAGATATTAAAAGATGTATTTCACTTTAACAGTGTTTAAGGTGGCTCATGACATCCACAGTTTATTTTAGATTTTATTACAGCACCACTTATAATGTAGATGTCAAATATCCAGATGGAGGTATTGATATCATAAATATTTTTTACAGATTTTCTGAGTAAACTCAGGTGACCTATTGCTATCTGTTTTTGTCCGTCGTCGTGCGTCGTTCGTCGTGTGTTAACATTTGAACATTTTCAGCTTCTTCTCTGCAACCACTCAACCAATTTCCACCAAATTTTAGACAAACCATCTATGGGTGAAGGGGAACAAAAATTGTGAATTTCATGGTCCCGGCCTTCCTGGGGTCTGAGGAGTGGGGCCAAAAACCACTAAAATTAGTGCAATCTTTAAAAATCTTCTTCAAGCAGTCAAACTGTTATCATGAATGTAATGACCATTGGTTCCTCTACCGAAATTGTGAAAATTCATGGCCCCAGGGTCAGGGGCTCTAGTGCTAGGCTGGGGCTTCATTGATTATATAGTAAAAATGCATTATTTCTTTAAAAATCTTCTTCTCTGCTCCTGGGTATAAAATAAACTAACTAAGTACATAGTTATTATGCGAAAGAATGCCTTTTGCAAAATTATGAATTTTATGGCCCCAGGGTCAAGGGGTTCTAGTGTTAGGGCAGGGCTCTATTGATTTTATAGAGAAAATGCAGAAATTGTTTGAAAATCTTCTTCTCTGCTGCTGGGTATTCAACAAACTAACTAAGTATATAGTTATGATGAGCAAGAATGCCTCTTCCAAAATTGTGAATTTTATGGCCCCAGGGTCAGGGGTTCTGGTGTTAGGGCGGGGCTCTATTGATTATATAGAGAAAGTGCAGAAATTGTTTGAAAATCTTCTTCTCTGCTGCTGGGTATTCAACAAACTAACTAAGTACATAGTAATGATGAGGAAGAATGCCTCTTCTAAAATTGTGAATTTTATGGCCCCAGGGTCAGGGGTTCTGGTGTTAGTGTAACGTGTCGAGCGGAATAATAAAATAGCAGTCGGGGGTCGTACCTTGTCGATTCAAGGTTTTGGGGGATTTCTCATATAAAATAATTTTTCTTAATAAATGATTGACAAATGATTACAAAGGCCTGCAAGTTATACAAATAAATGACCAACCTTATCTAGGTTAATAATCACGACGACAATATTCAAAGGTGGATCAAATAATTACAGGTGATTATGTAAATGGTAGTGGGTAGACTATCCCTAACGCTGGCCAACCTCGGACTGACGCTTGTACTGCAGCCTTATTCAGGACACAGTCAGTACAAGTGACAGCCCTTCAACTGCTGTGCACACTGCTAGCCTTATAATCAGGCAGACACACTGCACACAACAGCCTGGTTGCTAGACATATCAGCAATCTTAACACGAATTACAGTTGAGGTGGCTAACCTCCATTGCTGGCTAGCCTCTGATGGCTTGCCACTCCAAAACATTACAGCCTTTATTAATTCACAATTTGTGTAGACTACACCTTATTTATTTTATAAGGTGGACTTCTTCTGTAAGCTGACTTTATTTTGTTAAGTCTCACTTACTTCTGTTATGGTTCGCACACGTCTTACGCTTACACAGCTTGCGCTAGAATGAACGCTCTATTGCGTGGATTCAGTCTTTATATACCTTTTAAAGAGGATGTTTACACCTGCAACCTAATAACTGAATCTATATGATAACAATATAAATTTCCGGAATATTACATTAGGGCGGGGCTCTTTTGATTATATAGAGAAAATGCAAAAATTGTTTGAAAATCTTCTTCTCTGCTGCTGGTTATTCAACAAACTAATTAAGTACATAGTTATGATGAGCAAGAATGCCTCTTCCAAAATTGTGAATTTTATGGCCCCAGGGTCAGGGGTTCTGATGTTAGGGCGGGGCTCTATTGATTACATAGTGAAAATGCATAAATTCTTTGAAAATCTTCTTCTCTGCTTCTGAGTATTAAATAAACTAAGTATATAGTAATGATGAGCGAGAATGCCTTTTCCAAAATTGTGAATATTTATGGCCCCAGAGTCAGGGGGTTCTGGTCTTAGGGCGGGGCTCTATTGATTATATAGTGAAAATACATTTATTCTTTAAAATCTTTTCTTCGTTCCTGGGTATTCAATAAACTAACTAAGTACAAAGTGATGATGAGGAGAATGCCTTTGTGAATTTTATGACCCAAGGTCAGGTGTTCTGTTGTTAGGGCAGGGCTCTCTTGGTTATATAGAGAAAATGCGGAAATTGTTTGAAAATCTTCTTCTTTTGGCTCCTGGGTATTAAGCAGATGAACTTCCTTTATAGTTATGATGAGCAAGGACCATTCTTCCTAAGTTTTGAATTTCAAGGCCCCTGGGTCAGGTGTACCATAGAGGATGGGTTGTTTAGCTTTTGTCTAATTTTAGTAGAATGTTTTATTTTAAGTTTATTATTACTAGAATTTCAGAACTTTCAGTGTCAAATAATGGGCATCTTCTTAAGACAAGTACACACAGTGAAAATTCCACATAATATCTGATATTGATATATATCATTTAATTTTTATAAAATACTTAATTCTTATTAGATAAAAATTCTTTTGATAACTGCATCAATAAAATCAAGAGTTTGCTTGCACTAAGCAGCCGGAACTACTTTGGCAGTGTTAACATGTACATTCCCGCTTCCAGATTACTTTTTGAAAAAAAATAATTAAAAACTTTAACTTTAATAAAAATTTCCCTGACTTTCGGAACCTGTCCGTTACGTTCCTGACTTATTTTCTACTTTCGTTTCGTTTTGAATTATCCCCCTTTGCTAAACAAAACAAGTCGTCTGCATAACAATACAGTTATGGAAAAGAAGGGGAGAAAACCTTTAATCGGCATACTTTAATTTTCTTCAATGTTTGGTTTTGAGACATCTGATGTGAAACAATAGAACTCTGAAAAAATGTTATATTATGCTACCACAGTAGGGAAAACCGTAAATCTGTTAAATCGTGGGAAACGAATGATCGAGAAAAAGGACACTGCATGAATGGGGACGGAATTCTTTTAATCTTGAATAGTCGGCAGCAGATTCTTTCAGGTTTTACAGCATTGACAGGTTGTGATACTTATTTATATGTTCGGTTTGAAATTCAGATGAAAAGATGCGCAAATGAAATCCTAAATTTCTGAGACCTTTTTGATGCGTAAATTTAAAAGAAAAGTGAAAGAAATTTTCATTTTATTAATTTAAAATCATAATTAAAGGTACTTGGACACAGATTTGAAGTTAATATTATCTGTATAATATCACGAATTATATATTTTTATAGCATTTCACACAAAAAATAATTTAAAAATCTTATTTCATTAAAAAGTTATTAAAACTTCAAATTTTTTGGCGGGTTTGATTGACACATCCTTGCACTTTAACAGATTTTAACTTTATTCTTAATCCTTCAGAAAAGTGACAATCTTGTGTGTAATAATGAGAAATATTAAAACTTTAATCCAGAAAAATAATTTTATTCAGAGTAGAAATGTTAGAAAGCAAAACTCCCTCACAAGTATCGCCATTCCGAGTCGTGTATGCAAATCGATCAAACTCGTATTATGTACACAGTTTTTGTAAATAGGGCAAGAACTCTGTTTTTGTTGATGTAACGATTCACTGGATGCATTCAAGTGTCAAAATCTACTCACCACAACTGCACGGACTGAGAATATATTGTGTGTTTGTTTTGCTTTCGAACATGTCTACCCTGAATTTTCTGGATTAAAGTATTTATATTTTTCATTCATAAACAACAAGATTACCACTTTACCTTATGCGTATTGAGAGTAAAAATAAAATTTGTAAAAGAGCAAGGATGTGTCAATCAAACTCGCCAAAAAAATTGAAATTTTTATATCTTTTATATGAAATAAGATATTTGATTAGTTTTTGTGTGAAATGCTATTAAAAGTTATAAGTCGTAATATTATAGAGAAAATTATCACTTAAAATCTGTGTCTAAGTACCTTCAAAGTGACTTGTATATGTCTTTATTATGAATTCTCATTTGTACAACTTTTGTGCGTTTTACTGTACATATTTTGTGGTACATAAAACATTTATCTCTTATGTTAGACCAAGTATCTCGATCGTTCGACAAAGCATATTATGCAAAAATATATATTTTCACCCGTAGAAATATGCTCCTGTTCAAAATAACTAAAACTGAAAAATCAAATTAAAAAATATAAAGTATATGTTTTCCGTGACTTTCAAAGCAGTAAAAAAAATTAAGTGGATTCCTCTACTGATACAGATATTAGTTTTTTTTTTTTATTAAATAAAGAAAAAAATAATTTATAGAGTTAATTATAATACTGGTTCAGAGAAAATATTATAAAAACATAATTTTTTTTCTTTTTGCAACGTTGGCCATTTTGGACAAAAATATGTTGCATGTTTGCATAATTTTTCAGGGTACAATGTTATAGCTTATAGAATAAATTTTTATTATGAATATTCAAGACCTCTGGCCGTTGTAACTTAAGTGGACAAAATAATTTGAAGATTAATCGGTAAATGTCCAACACTATGTGGGAGTATATTGAAATAGATCATATAACTGAAATAATTTATCAATGTGCATATAACGCTTATCATTGAGTTTGCTTTCTAGTTACGCCATTGAATTTTTGCATGAAGCTGACCAGATGACCACATTTACTTTTAATTATTTTTTTTTTCTCAACGAAGATTAGGAGTATTTAAATCACTTTTAAGGCAACTGTTCATTGATTTTTTTTATATTGTCAGATCAGACAAGAACAGAGGAAAAAGTCATCATTCAAGAACAAGGTAATGGAACTTGGCTAGACGAACTTGTGGAAATCGGACAAACATTGAAAAGGTTTCTTGGAAGTATTGGGGATAGAAAGCTAAATGAAGATGAAGAAACTGAATTGAAAAATATTTACAGTGGCCTAAAAAAGGTATTTATTAATAATTTATTAAATTTTATGTATTTTAATTTATAAACTGTTTATAGAACATTTCTCATGTATTGTGTCAAAATCACGATAACTAGCTGGAAAAAATGAAACTTTTTTTTAAAGGTTTCCTCTTGCCTGAATAAGGTTTTTAAAGGTCTTCGAAAAGAGATTTTCTTTCTATGGACACAAAAGATCGACAGTGCACAAAGCGATCAAGGTTATAAAAATCTGCTACAATTTCATCTATTACTTAAACAAAATTGTAATCATTTATTATATTAATAGATATAAAATATTTGAGAACGCTAATCTTAAATATCAGTTCTGTAGCATTGACGGATTCTGAATATATATTTACAGTTACAAAAAATTATCTTCGTCACTGTTAAAACTTATCTTTATCTTCAATTTAGATATTCCTATGCTCTCCTCAGAAACATCCGATGAAAATGTACAAATCGGTACGGATGTAACAATAGAGGCCAAAGCTGAATTGGTTCGTCATTTTCAATGGTTAAGAAAAACATGCCAGGAAAATAAATATAGATTTTTGCAACTCATTGAAGAAGAAAAAGATAAGTTTGAGTATGAGGAAAAAAAGGACAGACTTGTGCTAAAAATTAGGAACTTTGGCAGGCAGGATGCAGGATCCTACTACGTAGCTGTAGAAACTGAGAATGGCGTTTCTGTTTTTCGAAAAACTTTAAGATTTGGTAAGCTTCAAGACTCACCATCATATAATCAAAACAGCATTGTAATTAAATTACGCTGTGCAAATTAAGATCACATACTTATATGCCACAGTTAGTCTTGACTTGTAACGTGGACCTTTACATATGTCCTAACATTTTCCTCTTATCTCAAATCGTACCCAATTCTCCTTACCGGTATGAGACTCAGCGTGAAATTTGTAAGTTATGCCTTTCAAAGTCCACATTACTTCTTCAGGCAGAAACTTACTGTAATGTCCATTTTTCACTGACAAACTTGGATACATGCAATAACTGACAACGTGCTCACTGCTGCCTTTACTGCAAAACTTCGACAATTATTGACCTTTTTACTCCCGGTGCTGATAAACCGGAAAGGTGCTGACAATCTTAGTCGGTGCTGATAAAGTTACTGCAATTACATTGTACCGACCCGTTTACTGTCTCTACTGAAACACTTAAAAAAGTGCTCATGTTTATACTGATAAGTACTGTCCGTATTGTTCTCCCTCTCGGGGAGACTGCAGAAAAACTTTGTGAAACTTTTTTTTTTTAATTCAAAGTGAGTTTATTTGATTTTTTTTTTTTTTTTTTAATTTTACCAAAAACTTTGCCCCAATGGTATATTTAGAAAATATTCTATGATCAATTTTTAGAAGAAATGTTTACGATTTATGTACATATATTTCATAAGGTAAACAAATACCTGGTAAAACTTCAGAACCTTTCAGCAAAAAAGCAATCTGTAAATTATTTAGTGACTTTAATAGGGAAGTAAACACAGCGATTTACAGGAATCTCTTTCTCCTGATTAATGAAAAATATTATTGTTACATGTGTATGCCTATGTAGTGCATGCACCCCGTTTGTTTAAATTAATATACTGTAAATCACTTTTTATTCGCGAGAACTTTATTTTCGCGTAATTACGCGAGAGAGTGAGCTCGCGAAAATTTAATTCTCGCGATTTATAATATTCCTTAAGAATATATAGAGCAATAACCACAATTCGCGAAAATTTTGTTTCGCTTATCAAGAGTCAATGACTATCTCGCGAAAATAAGGTGTCGCGAAAATTTAGTGATCTACAGTATAGTTACGTATTTATTTGAAAAATTAAATTGTCTAGATATATGCGTTATATCATATTTCATATTAAATATTCCATAGCCATACTATGCGGTGGGTCTAGATATATGCGTTATATCATATTTCATATTAAATATTCCATAGCCATAATATGCGGTGGGGCCAGGGGTGCATATTTCTGAGACTAGGCCGGCCTCTAATTCTGCTAGATTCTGCTGTTGGAAAAGCTGTCTCACACTCCTGTCTATCTTCTTCCATACATGAAAAGTTAGGGTTGAGATTAGGATGACAAGGGGGCTAACCGAAAGTGCCTGTGCCTTGCTGACAATAGTTACATAATGTAAGGGGAGGACACTTCCGGTTCCGGTTCAATTGGTTTTTCCGGATAAACTCTAGGATGATTTTGTTGTGTTTGCTGAAAATCTAGCAATTTCTAATGATTCAAAGGAATTCAAATATGCTTTGAAGGTGTTTTTGGCGGTAATTGTAAAGGTTTTAAGTAAATAAAGTCAAACAGTGAAAAGAAACAGAACTCTAGTTAACTACGACCAACTTGGGCCATTTTAACATCACTTTCACAATGTGGACATACACCGCATTTTAATCATTTTTTTCCCCTGTTTTTCGTTATCAATTAAAGATGGAGAACACATGGAAGAAAACAATATGAAAAATACACCCGAAAGACATAATTATGGAACTCGAACTTCATGCTTTTTAACAAAAACAGTCACGGTCGAGTAATTACTCATTCGATTACAATTTTTTGGCCACGACAGGAAAGTATTGCAAATTAAAGGCACAATTGTAAGCAACTAGTACATTGATGTTAAGGTTTTGGACACTCTGTGAAGCACCCACCTGTAGCAGAAGCCCCTGAGGTGATCCGAGTTTGTACTTTAGCAAAAAATAAAACAATATGTGACATTTTACAGAAGGACACTACCCGTAAATCACAGGAAGTAAGTTACACAGTATTACGGCGTCTTCTCTGTTCATCAACACAATTGTAAGCAGTTCATCAAATGCATGCTGAATCTACAATCTCACACTTCCATTTTGTTATTCGAACAAAATACTAAGTTTCTATTACATACATTAAATGATTGAAAATTTAAAAATAAAATGTGAAAATCAAAAAAAAAGAAAAAAAAAATCGGAAAAGATACACACTTTTTAAACTAATCTGCAATTTCTGACAAACAAATTATTAATAAATAAATGAAAAGGAAGAAAACACACATAAACTGTTGCAAAAATTTGTAAATTAGAGGTTTCTTCTTTAATTGATAATTATGTTCTGTTAAGTAGGGTTAGTGTGCGATGTTCAACAGACGGTAAAGTAAATTATCAATGATGAATGTGTTGTCCATTGCTCACATCGGGGGTATGTTAAGGAAGCATATAAATACTTTCTCGGGAAATTTCTCATTAAAGAAAAAGCTAACAGAAAAACAATACCCAAAAGTTTAATCAGGCGCAGATCCAGAAATTTTTCCAGTGGGGCGGGTCCACCCCAGTCCAAAAAAAAATCTAACCTGTAAATTTCTTGACATAAAAAAAACAAAAACGGACATTTACCAAAACTTCAAGAACATATTTCGTGGGGTATGGGGGGGGGGGGGGGCGGGGTCGATGACTTCTTATTCTTTATACCAATTCCACACAAATTCGCGTTTATAGGGAGGGGGGGTCTGCCTTTTCCTATGGGGGTCCAAGGTAACTTTTTTTCTTGCTTTAGTATATAAATTTAATAACATTGCAATTCCAGGGAGGGGGTCCTGACCAACCCCTCCCCCCCCCCTCTAGGTCCGCACATGTTAGTAATTTCCTTTGAATAAATAATATTTATTATTCGTTACTTGTTTATTACTTGCCGTATGTACGAGATACTAAGTCGTACCTACGAGATACTAAGTTGTACGTCCGACATACTTGTCTACGTACGAGATACTAAGTCGTACGTACGAGAAACTAAGTCGTAAGTACGAGATACTACATGTAAGTCGTAAGTACGAGATATTAAGTCGTAAATACGAGATACTCAGAAGTTAGCTGCACAACTGTAGTGTTATGGTTTTATATAGTCTTTGATCATATTTTAACGCTATAGAACTCGTGATGCAAATAATGAGCACACTGCGGTGCATGATTTTAACTCACTTTTGGGGAGAATTTCTCCACTTTCCACCTTTGGTCACCCCTCGTATATATGTGTTTACTACCAAGAAATTGTAAAAAAAAATTTCTGTGCCCCCGTAAAAGAAGTTTCGGGGTATATAGTTTTTGTCATGTCTGTCTGTCTGTCTGTCTCTCTGTTTGTCTGTTTGTCCGCAAAAACTTTAACCTTGCCCATAACTTTTGATTAAGTAGAGCTATGTCTTTCATATTTCACAAGTGTATTTCTTGTGACAAGACCTTTCTTTACGTACCACCAAATTTGACTTTCGACCTTGGAGTTTGACCCACTTAAACACAAAAATTTTAAACTTTTACTTTGGTCATAACTTTTGGACAGTAAACACTAAGACTTTTATACTTTACATATAATTTTTTTTATGGCAAGACCTTTCATTGGATAACACCAACCTTGACCTTTTGACCTTGACCTTGGAGATTACGTACTAATAAAAAAAAAACCTTGGCAATATCTTTTGAACTGTAAGGGATAGAGCTTTCATACCCTACATATGTAATCCTCGTAAGAAGACGCTTTATTGGGTACTTAGAGCTTTGACCCTTTGACCTTGACTTTGGAGTTTAACCTACCTTTTAAAAAACAAACATTGACCATATGTTTTAAAGGGTAAGAGCTAATGCTTTCATACTTTATGTATTTAATTCTTGTGACAAGACCTTTCATCTGATATCAAGACCTCTTACCTTTTGACCTTGACGTTAGAGTTTGACCTACTTTTGAATTTTTTTAACATTGACCATAACTTTTTAATGGGTAGGGCTAGATCTTACATACCTCAAATATGTATTCTTTATGGAAAGACCTTTCATCGGATACCAAAAACTTTGACCTTCTGACCTTGACCTTGGAAATTTCTGGACTTATGAAAAAACTTTAACCTTTACAATGTTTTTTGAATGATTAGGGCTAGGGCTTCCATTCTTCAAATATGTAATTCTTGTGACAAGACGTTTCATTCAATACCAATAACCTTGACCTTCTGACCTTGGTTTAATTCCGAGACTTTTGTTATAACTTTCGTATTACAAGTCATATACCTACCAAAGAGCTAGGTTCACTTTATGCATGAAATGGACCTGTCCTTATATCAATTAATATTTTCTATCACACTATTTCCCATTTCATATATCAAACTAAAGCAAAGACTTAGTGCTTTCGTTTCTATAAAAAAATTCTTTTTGAGAATCCGAGGATTGGAAAACAAGCTTTGAGAAAAATTAATGCAATGTTCTTGAATATGCAAAGAACACGTATTTGACCACCTTCATGCAACAAAGGATTAAAATATTAGCACATCCAACGATTCAAAAAATTAAAACATGATTTTTTTAATGTTCAGAAACAGATCTTTCATTATGTAATTGCATATTTTGGATCAGGGGTTGTGCTCTTAATGAGATTTTGAACCTATATTTCAACTTTAGGCCATTTTCATAGGAATTTACAGGATATGGAGTGCCTGGATGACAAAAGGATGTAAGCAATGGGAGCTTTTCTTTCGATTAAAGTGAAGTCAATATTGATCTAGAGTAAATAATGACAGCACTTTTTACTTACATATTTCTGATTTTTTATGCCCCCGTAAACGAAGTTTCGGGGGTATATAGTTTTAGTCGTGTCCATCTGTCTGTCTGTCTGTCTGTTTGTCTCTCTGTCTTTCTGTCTCTCTGTTTGTCTGTTTGTCCGCAAAAACTTTAACCTTGTCCATAACTTTTGATTTAGTGGAGCTGTGACTTTCATATTTCACATGTGTATTCCTTGTGACAAAACCTTTCTTTGGGTACCACCAATTTTAACCTTTTGACCTTGACCTTGGAATTTGACCCACTTAAACACAAAAATTCCAATTTTTACTTTGGCCATAACTTTTGAACAATAAATACCAGGACATTTATACTTCACATATATATTCTTTGTAGCAAGATCTTTCACCGGATACCAGCAACCTTAACCTTTTGACCTTGACCTTGGAGATTTACGTAATAACGAAAAAACTTAAACCTTGGCAATAACTTTTCAACGGTAAGGGATTGAGCTTCCATACTTCACATATATATTCTTTGTAGCAAGTGGCTTCCAATAACCTAGACATTTTGACCCTGACCTTGGAGATTTCCGGACTTATGAAACAACATTAACCTTGGCAATATCTTTTGAACTGTAAGGGCTAGGGTTTCATACTTCATATAAGTAATTCTTATGACAAGACCTTTCATTCAATACCAAAAACCTTGACGTTCCGACCTTGATCTTAGAGTATAACGTATTTATATAATCTTTTTAACCTTGGCCATAACTTTTGAATGGATAGGGCTAGGGTTTCCATACTTCAAATATGTGATCTTTGTTGACAGTCATTTCAATGGATGCCAATAACCTTGACCTTCTGACCTTGATCTTGAAGATTTCTGTACTTATGAAAAATCTTTAGCCTTGCCATATCTTGGGAACAGATTGTGATAGGGCTTTCATGTTTTACAATTGTATTTCCAGTTAGGAGACCCTACTTTGGGTACCCATATGTATAATTTGCATCTAAGAAAAGTTCAATCTTCTCGATGTTGCCATATGGGGGCATCAGTGTTTCACAAACACATCTTGTTTTTATTGTAGAAAATGGAAAAAACGATATGAATGGGTAAGTAGATTTGATTTGAAAAGGAATATATTCGATAAGGACCAATATCTTCCCCCAAAATCAAAATTTGATGAAGAAATATCTGTAGTACTATCTATATGCCCTTTCATTTTCATCAGACGTTTTACTTTCCAAAACAATTCAGACATGTGATAATGATAACGTCAACAACAATGCAATGACGTCACAATTAGAGTCTAAGTAAAATACAATAATTCATTCATAGCGTGAAAATAATAATTCAAAACCCAATTAAAAATTGTATATCTTTAAGCTTGATAATTCTTAGTTTCTTGTAACATTTCTAACTTTCACCAGTTCAGCCCGTGGCAATCTACAGCTACTTCAAGTCAACCTTAGTGCCATAGTAATAGATGGACTTTTTCTCCGGGTATACCAAAGTTTACTGAATCACGTTAATTATGAATCACCCTATACTTCCTTAGGTCTGACTTGGGAACAACTCCAATAGAAGAGATAAATTTTTCAACAGATGTATCATTGGGGGTTTTGCATGCCAATGCAAATGCAAAGCCTGAAAAGATGGAAATAAAACATCTCTCTGGAGGAAAAAGTGTGGAATGCGACGTTAAGGTTTTTGCTTTATAATAATACTTCATTATTTCTTTACAAGCAGATTCCTTATTTAATGCACTCTCATTTCTTGTAAGCAATGGTTCATTTCACCAGAATAAGACACAACAGAATACACTGCTTGGTATATACAATATTACCCTTGCGACAAAATCTAACTACTATTACATGTAAACCGCGTATTTTCAACTTACGCAGTTTGTGTTTGAGCTACATTAAGTAAAATTTATCTTTTATGATAGGTAATTATTAAACATGTTTTGATTCTGATTTCCACTGTCCCATTGATAATTAGCCACTCTTGCATAAATATTTGGTTGGTCATTTTTGACACTTAACTCATGAGTGGTTTTAAAGTCTACATGTCAATGATATGTTTATACATGTACACGTATAAAGTAGTTAAAATAATAGAGCGTGAGGTAACAACGAGTATCAGAAACTTTGACGTACGTTAAAGTCAATTATGATTTAGTTATATAAAGGAAGGAAGTTTTCGTGAACAAAAAATACAGTAAGATAATTTTAAGGCATATCATTTATGATTTCTAATTTAGAAAAATTAAAGATGAATTAAAATTCATACTTATTCTAGTCATAGATATCATAAACTATGAATAATTATTATATGTATTGTCATATATTTACATCCACTGAATATTTCCTCCTTTATTGCTTAAGAAAACCCATTGCGTTAAATACTGCATGAACTACAAAGTAAAATGAAGAATAAAAGAATTTAACGCATGTCTATAGTTAGATAATACATAATCTTAAATTTTAGTCATTTATTTTTGTTTTCGTGTTTCTTTTTATTTAGCTTGTTTAAGTTTTCAGATATACAGCTGATTTTATTTTTTTCTGAAACGGTTTCCATTAGTTTAATTCTTCTATGATTAAGATAAACTTAAAAGTAAAAGTACAGGGTCATAATATACCAAACATTTTCAAATTTATTCAGCATACATAGCGTTTTACTATTAATAAATATCTTGGAAGAAGACAAGTCTTACTGATCAATGCATTTTACAAGGATAGATAACAATATGATTTTCTGACTTGAAATGCAGCCATTGATTGTTGTTTCTTTTTTTTATTGATTTTAATTTAAAATGTATGACACTAAATATAGTTTTGATATATATCATAATTTTTATTTTTTATTATTGTATTTGTATTATTTTGTATTATTAATTGTTAGGCTGTGCAAAGTGTTGCCGGTTTAAAAAAAGCTGTTGCAAAAGCATTGAATTCTCCAAAAGAATTTATTGAAATAGTGGACAACAACAATATATTACTCTACCAGGATGATACACACTTTGAAGATTTCCTGAAACATGAAGATAAAATCCATGTGATTGAGCGACCAAGAACTCGTGAAAGTCAACATGAGAGACCTGTTGAGATTGTGGAAGATGACAACGAAAGCACTGGCTTTCCGTATGGATGTACACACTCAAATAGTAAGGCTAGATATTGCTGAAAAATGCATTTATTGTTTTTTTTAATGCTTTAATCGTCATTCCAAATTATTTCATTTCATTTATTTTTATTTTTTTTGTTGTTGTTATTTTTAAATCATCTGAGTCGGCCCTACTGCTACAAGTATATGTTTTTATTTGTCTTCGTTCGTCGTCCGTTAACATTTTAATCTTTTCTGAAACCACTGAACCAATTTTAATTAATTTTGACATAAAGCGCTTATACATGTAGTTAAAGAGGAATAAATTATAAATCTAAATTGAAATTCCATGGTCCCTACTCCCCAGGGCCTAAAGCATGTTACTCAAACCATCAAAATTATTCAGTCTTTAAAAATCTTCTTTACTCCTCGGCATTAAGCAGTAAATCTGTTAGGAGTTCTGGTGTTAAGGCGGGGCTCTATTGTTAGTCCCCTACCGGTGAAACCAAAGGGGACTATAGGTTTCCTCTGCGTCTGTCCGTCCGTCCGTCCATCCGTCTGTCCTACTTTGTTTTCTGCACTTTTTTTCTAAACGCTTGCAGATATTGAACTGAAATTTTGTATGTGAATGTGGATGTATCTTAATGAGTTACAGATCAAGTTTGAATGGCGTTTTGCTTCATTGATTTTTAACAAAATTATGGCAATTTTAATTTTTATAATCGTTTAATCAAGATCGGGTTCGTGATGCGCTAACTTCCGATGGTCGACATAAATATGAAGCAAGGAAAAGATGTTGGAAAAATTAGTTAAATTTTCGTCTTAATGTGGATTATTTTATCAGGTTAAAGGCATTCACAACCTCAAAATCAAGCAGTTTTACCTTAGAAATAACTTTTGCATATATTAAAATGATATCGACATTCTAAAGAAAAAGGGGGACCCAATTGGGGATATGTGTTGCTTATGTAATACTCTCAAAATGCTTGTTTCTATAGTATTAATTCTTTGAAAATATTCTTCTTTCTTCTTCGGTATTATATGTTTATAAGCAGCCTCGTTTGAAGTCATCATTTCGTAAGTACTTTGGTCGATACAATGACCTTGTCAGCAAATACATTTTATCACTGAGTCATGTGCTGACTCAGACTGACGTTATTTATACCAATGGTTAGTCCAATATTAATACACTGATTTGACGACGGATTTTCCGTTATTTCCCTATCATGACAAGGAGCACACGGCGGATGTGACCAGTCGGCAGGGGATGCTCACTCCTCTATGGTACCTGATCCCACCTCTGATGTTTTAGAGGTCCGTGTCTGCTCCGCTCCTGTTTTGAATTGTTTTATGGACTTTGATATTGAATATTGTTCGTTATCTCCATACCCTTCATGTATTTAAACAAATAAAGTACATGGTAACAAACAAGAATGCCTCTTTAAAAATTTGAAATGCATGGCCCCATGGTCGGGCATTGTGTTAAAAGGAGGAGGCTCTATTAATTATATAGTGAACAAACAAAATTTCTTTGAAAATATCTTTTCTGATCCTGGTGATAAAGCAAAAAGCTAAATTAAGTGTGTAGTTATAATGAGCAAGACAGTTTCCTCCAGAATTTTAGTTTCATGCTTTAATGTAAGGGAAGGGCTCTTTAAATATAATTTAAAAAATGGAAATGCTTAGTATCAAATAATCCTGCCTGCTCCATAGTATTGATTGCATATAAAAAGTGCACACTCAAGGGTGTGTCTTTAAAAGATTTAAAACGTGTGTACATGTGGTCCATGAAATTACTCTAAATAAAGTATTTCAAAGATTAATAGAATAAGACAATTATGCAAGAATTTTTATTTTGTAATACAAAAAGTATTTTTATACTTTTAATGATCAAGACGACTTGTACTAAATAGATAAATAAAAATGACTTATTATATGAGGTTGGGGTCAACAAATTAACCACCAGATTTAACTATTTTTTTTTTAGAGATGAAAAATTAAATTGTCAACTATCATTTGGCAAAGAAAAATTTCAAAAAGTTAAGTTTTTAAATTTGACCATTTTGATATATCTTAAATATGGAGCTCTTCTTCTAAAAGAGATTAATATAGTCTAAAAATGGCCACAACCCCAGCCCCTTTAGTGTTTTTATAGCACTAACAGATGCCAATATTAAAAGTTGTATTTGAGAGTTAAAAATGTACATAAGCACAAATACTTCATTCATTTGTATGGTAAGAGTGATATGTGGTCATTGGAGGAATTTGAACAATTATATTTGTTGGTTGTTAAAGAGAACTAGACTTTTGCTGATCCTTATCATTCTTTTTCTTTTGCTTTTGAACAACAGAGCTTCATTTTCAGCTTATTTTTTACTGTGCGGATCCTCTAAATTATTGTATTATATTCAACAGCCGTTAAGGCCTTTGCGCATCTTTTTATCGAAACAAATTCCAGATATAAGATATTGATTTTGTTTTCATTAACCAGAAGTCTCTGTTGAGACTGTAGCTCTACTGGTTTATACTTAAAACAAAGGAATTAAGAAAACAATAGCAGTTTGGACTTTTTGTGGCAATGTTGCAATAAGATTACAGCTGTGGAGAGTAGCTTTAATAAAATTTTACAGAATTTTTTAATTTTAGTTACCATGGCAACATCATAATAAAAAAAAATTAAAAAAAACAATTAAGACAAAAAATAAATGTTTCTTAGTGTAGTATAACTGCATGTCACATTATATTGTAATCAGACTAAATCTGTATTTGAGATGGCATTTTTTCCAGTTTTTTTAAATAAATTTCTATTTTAAGTAACCATGTCAACACGGTTCATCAAAATCAAAAACGGTTGCACTGAATTATGTAACTCAGTTTAGTCTACTTGTATGCTACGTTATATTGAAATCGGACCAAAATTGTAGGAGGAGTAGCATTTTGAAAACTATTCACAGGAAATTTCTATTTTTAATAACCACGCCAACACCATCATCGAAATCAAATACTGATAAATAGAATTGTGTTTCTTAGTGTAGTCTATTTGTGTAATAAGTTGTATATAAAAAGAAACAGACCAAAGCTGTAATAGAAGTAGCATTTTGAAAACATTTCACAGAAATATCTATTCGTAGTAACTACGGCGACACAGTACATCGAAATAAAAAACGATACACAGAATTATGTATCTTAGCATAGTCTACTTGGGAATTAATTTATACTGAATGCAAACCAAAACTGTAAAAGGAGTAGCATTTTGAAAAATTGTTTTCAGACGGACGGCGGACGCATTGCTATCGCATAAGCTCTTCTTGTATCTGACCAGGATATCAATGATCAATTAACATGTATACAATGGTGAATATATATGAATTTGATGTACTTTTTTTTAAGATCCAGAGGGGCTTTTTTATTACATCCATAGTGAATTGATGGAAAGAGAGGGAATACAAATTGGGTGCCCTAATTGTGGAACAAAACTGGTAATGGATGATGCATTTAAGCTGTGTAATATGTCAGACGATGAGATGTATTTCTACAAAGAAAAAATAAAAAGAAATTGGACTTGGAAACAACAAATGGAGCAAATGAGAATGTATTGAACATGTCCCAAGATGTTATATTTTCCTTATATACATGTTGCAAGATACTTAACTAGAATATGAGGGTTGTCCCGTTAAATCGTGGACAAGTTGTCTAGTGTGAAAAATAAACATCACTGCGTTCTGAAATTTTCACTATTACGTATTTAGTACACATTTCAGTAATATACACAGCAAATTTCAGATAAATATATGTATAAATAAACAAATTATGAGATTTTAAGTCATGTTTTATATGACCTTACGGCGCATGGATTATAACGTCAAAGTCTCTAAAACAGCGTCACGTTTTATCTTTGCTGAAAATGAAGTTGGATGAGTCCGACTTAAATTTAGAAATTTCATTGATACACAATCTTTAGTCTCCATAAACAGCCGAAGAACCAATTGGCACCCTCATGCGATCTTCTGCAGATTATTAGTAAGTTACGGACAATATTTTAGCTATCATTCAACTTATAGAAAATCTCATATCGGCGGTCTACTGTGACAGCGTCTTTTGCTTTTACATTAGGAGTTTGTCCGTATGTATTGTAATCTCCAGGGACTCGATCAAAAAAAGACTTCACTAAGAAATCTCTTATTTCATTTGTATACTTAAGATATGGTGGTCTTTTTTCTTCTATGGTCATTTCAAGTCTCTAAAGGTGTCAATACAACATCGAATTAAAACTGAACTGCTCTCCGGTGCGCCGTAACGTCATAAAACGAGGCCATTTTTCGTGTGTTGTTTTTACCACTTTCCCATTTCGAATACTCGAGAAACTGCCAAAAATTAACCAAATGCCTTTATTTTTTTTTTATAAAGACTACAAAATTGATTGTGGAATTGAATTAGGATAATTTTAATCCAAATCTTGTGTATTTAAAACTTTTATTTTGAATTCAAACTTGTGTATTCTTTAATAAAACCTTGGTTTTTTGACCGTGCGCCGTTGGACAATACCCCATGCACATTCAAGCATAATAAAATCTTTACTTTTGCATTAATTTAAAAAAAAGAAATCAGGCACTTACATATGATAAATACTGTATATACAGGGTTATTTTCGCCTCGTGTAATTTTTGCCCTTTCACACATGTAAACAATTTTGCCCCGTTTTAAATTCGCCCACTCATTGTTTTATTTAAGAAATTATGCTGTATTCTTTGAATTCACTCCGTTTAAAATTCGTCCAAATGAGGGTAGGGATAAAGGGGCGAAAATAAAACGGGGGCGAAAATTTCCATGTATACAGTAAATATTTACTGAAATTTTCAGCTTAGTGCGCCCATTACTTTTGGAAAAAAACGCTTTGTCCACGATTTTACGGGACAACCCACGTACATCATTTCACAATTTACTGTTGTGTACGCTTACGCTTAATGGTAATATTAGAGTTCTTTTTGTGGTAGAAGTAGGGAAGAAACCACTTCACTAAGTTCCCACTTCTCTGAAAATACTGATAGACGGTGCCGTGAATGAATAAAATGTTGATATTC